GTAGGGAAAATCTATATATGGAGCAACAGCCCAATTCCCTATTGAGATTACAGAATTTTTCTTGGGAACCCCATAAAAAATGTCCATAGGGGTATTTAAACTTGGCCCAATAGTGCATTATACACACTGACTTGGTGGAGATTTCAGTTCTGTAAGGGAACTGGTGTATCTTTCTATAGTGGCTTCAGCATAATAGACAAAAGAAAAGCATTAAGGCTGGAATAATCTGTCTCTTTAGTACCCAGAATAAACAGAGCTTTAGCCAGCTATTATTAGCCCAATACTTTCTCAGCTTCACATGGTTACTATGCCACTATAACTATGTTGATGTTTTACTGAAATAGTTATGCAGATGCAATCCTACTGTGGATGCAGCTTTCCCAGGATGAAGGCTCTTTGGATTGACGTAACTTATTACCCTTCCTTTATGGGAAATCTGCTTCACCAGTATAAGGTCCCGTATACAGCTGAGTCCATGCTAAGAGGGTTCTACTGCTTTCCTCACACCACGTTAGTGAAAGCAGTACAACTTTTGTTTGTAGGCGAAGTCCAGGAATGGATAAAGAGCAAGCTATGTGAGCACCCTCTTGCTATCTGAACTGGTGAAAAGCAGTGGTTCTATTTGGAACTTCTGTATTTTTATTTCACGTCTTAATTTTTCCTTACTTGCTACATTTATAGAGTTATGCATTTAGAGTAAGAAAATAAGTAGGAGTACTTATTAATTCATTGCTGCCCCCTGTCAGGCAGAGATAACCTTGCAGCATGTTAGCAGAACATGACATTTGAGCACTTAATCCTCTTAAGAGCATTTCAATATAAATTAGAATGTAGAAATATTAGCTATCTTTAATTAGATCAGGGGAGGAGGCACGTGTGTGTGTTAATGCGGCACATGCACACACCTAAGTCCACACAATATTTGCAGGCAGCTTGCAATTGTAACTGATGATTAAGAACACCATTTCCAGCTATGGGTGTTTCTCCTAAAAGCTTCCAAGAATTGGTTGAACACTGATAAACAGGCCAGGCAAAGCTCTGCACACTTGTTTTTTTCAACTTTAATGAGAATAATGACTCAGGCTTTGCCCAATGCTTGAACATCCATTTAAGTTACAAAATAAGTGAGGCCAATCCACAATGCTGAATGTAGAGGCCTTCTGTGTCCTCCAATTAGAAAATTACAGTGCCACTAAAATAGAGATGATGGTTCCCAGCTAGGTATTTTACCTGCCCATAGGGCTCTATAAAGTATGCATTGTGCTATACTAGGCCCTACACCACTATTTTTGGTTACACTGGGTGCATCTACACAAGACGCTGACTGTGCAGTAGCTGAAAAATACTGTGCAGTAGTGTGTTGCAGCATGGACAGTACTAATACACTACTGTGCAGTATTATTAGGCTAGTGCACAGTAGCATCCCCTAAAAGACATTTGGCAGCACTACTGTGTGATAACTTTGGTTACTGCACATTTATTTAGTACTTGGTAATACATGTAAGTACTAAATAAATGTGCAGGAATGACTGTGCAGTAGTATCTCATGTAGATGTGCCCACTGCCTCAAGAACAAGTGAAACAGCATCTGGTTGGCAGTGGATTTTTCTGCTTTCTACCCAGTTTTCCAGCAAGCCTGAATGAAATCCAGGGACAACAAAGCACTTGTTCACATTATAAATTACTGGTTCCCCTGGGATTATATCCCATCACCCGCTTCTTCCTGGCTTCTAGGCCTCTGGATGTGAAAAGGCATCCTTCTTTCATGGAGAGAGCTGCCTACAGAAGAGGTAGTGCACTTAAAGGGTGCTTTATGTGAATGAGGCCAAGTTTTGACCCATCAGGGGACGTATGACATCCCATGACTGACTGAATGAAAGCTTGAATTTTGTACTGATTGACTTGCACACCTGATTCAGGTGTTTTCCCCCTTTAAATAAAAAAAATTACTGAAGTCCGCAAGTGGTCGTATTTGAGGAAATCACAGCTAATTGTTGACAGGCGACTACACTGCTAATGGCATTACCAGACCAGGTGCTGAATGCGACTGAGGGACTCTTTTCAACCATTATCCCAAATGAATTTAAAAATCAGTATTTAACTTAGCTGCACAATGGGTGGAGACACCAAGGCACTGAGAGGTTACTGCCAGGTGTTGTAAGAATTTGGCTCTTCTGGAGGTACCTGAAGGCATTGACCAGATATTCAGAAGTGCTCAACAGCCACTTTCCAACAGAAGCTGTCTATTTGGGCACTTTGTTCTGGCATTTGGGAGCAGAGTTCTTTGGAATCTCTGGGCTTGGGTGATCTATCCAGGGACCTTGAGATACTGTCTCCATTCCTGCACTGTCATTGGACTATCACTACCATTTGGCTCCACTTGCTACAGAGCTGGGCTGCAGCCACACTCTTAAAAGTCCTAACTTGAATTCAGACACAAAGACCCCTTTTGACATAATCACACTACCACGACAGAGCAGTGCAGGTATGGAAGGGCAGTGGAGGGGTTCACAAATGTTCAAGCGGACAGAGCTGAAAGACTAGAAGGAGATGGCTATCCATTCTGCTCTGCTCCTCTAACAGAGCATGTTTCTCATCGGGCTTCCTCTGGCTGGCAGACTTCAGCTCTCTGAAACAACATTACCTTTCCAGTTCCGCATGTTATCCAAGCTCGACAAGGAGATTCTTCTTGGCACCAAGGCAGCCTGAGCCCTACAGATCCCAATATGTCCATTCTGAAGGGCCCCACTGGACAGCTCTTCTCCTCTCCGGTCTGAAAAGTGGGTTGGTTTGGGTGGTCTTGGCGGTGGTGTATTAGACAAAATATCCAGTTTGGTTATGCCATAAGGAAGCACGCTTTGGCTTTTCTCAATCTGAAAGGTTGGTGTTAAAGGAGGCCCCAGCAATGGAGAAGAGGAGGAAAAGTCATTGGATGTCCCGCTAATGTCTACACTCCTGGACAAAATCCCATGGTTTGTTGGAAGGCCCCCGTCTTGGTGCACGCTGCCACTACTAGATGGCTGCAAGTAGTGGGAAGGCTGAGACGGCAAGGAATCGACAAAAACATCATCTGAGGAGGTTTGCTCCAGGGACCTGTCAGAATTTGACCAGCTGTCGCATCTGGAAGGAATAAAAAGAAACCATGTTTTGCATCTTTCTCCTCCCGTGGCTGCAACTGAACTAGCCTGTGCTTTGATCAGTTCCAGAATACAAGAGGTGTGTACACACATGCCCACCAATTAACCATAATGCCAACAACTCAGCCCTTTGTGGCAAGCTTATTTTATTTTAAAATAATTGCTTCATGTCATTTTATTTTCTGGATAACTTACATCTCTTAAATGCACAATCTGGTCTCAGCAGACAGCTGGGATGAGGAGCTGCCTTCAATTATGCTGCTCATTTCCCCTTTCAAAAATGTGCACTGATCATTTAATTTCATTTGCCATTGCAGTGCAGCACTCCCCTCTTGCCATCCCCCCATTCCAGCACTGTTTGCACTTGCCATTCCTCATTACCAAAGGACCGTTTGTGACCAGGAGCCCATTCATCGGGGGACACATCCAGTTCTATTCCTTCTTTGCAACAGATGCTGCGCAAAGGCTGGGGGTGTCTGGAAGAGTGCCATGCAGTGGTGTCACCTCCTCATGCTGTGCTACATGTGGGGAACCCAGGTGAAGCCAGAAGACCCACCACTGGGAGGAATCTCCCCTCCAACTGCAGCAGGGCAGGGCAGGCTGCATAAGGCTTGCATAGCCAACTAACTCCTTACTTGACACCCAAGGCCAGGTCCTTGGCTTGGGTTTCTGGGATATGGTCTTATACCTCCAGTCCTAAGTAATGCTATTTACCCGCTCACACAAGGGACAGTGCACATTAGCTCAGTGTAACCCTGCTCATTTGATTATCCCTTGTATTTACTAAACTTTTGTTTGGTAACCAGGTAACAGTCTATAGGGGCAGATGTAATGCCCAATCTTGTTTTCACTGAAGTTAGTGGGAGTATCAAAGGCAGCAGAAATGACCCCAGAATGTCTGGTAGGACATAAAGGGAGGACAATCCTGAAGTCATGTCACTACTGGGTTTTAAACCTTAATGTTGTAGCTTTTTACATTTTTAGAAGAGAAAAATCAAAGAAGGTCTAGTCCCAAGGGGCCCTCAAGGTCTTATTTCAATACCAAGTAGGCTTTCATATTGCCCATGCAAAAATCAGAGGAACTTTCAAAAGTGTAAGTGGAGGAATGAGAAGGCCTCTTGGCTAATGTCTCTACCTTCAGAGGCCGAGGCCTCCACCTACTGGGATTCCTCCTACTCCTGCCCTCAAGCACACAATGGTCTGGATCCCAACCCAACCTTGATGGGTGGCTAAGTGGTAGACACATGAAATGGCTGCAGAGGTCAGGGAGGCAGTTTTTATTGCCAACGTACCTGTTATGGCTGAGCTTGCCTGACTCACAGTTTGAGAGGAAGAGGTAATCGGGGAGGAAGACTGACTCCGACTCACTCCTGGTCTCTTCAGCGGCAGACGCATCAGTGGTCGCGTTATCCACAGAGAAGGAAGGGTCTGTGATCCGAGAGGCGTGGGTGGAGACAGCTGGCGAGGGCTGAGGGGATGAGGTGGTGTGAGACAGGCTCTCCACAGAATCTGCAAGACAGCAGGAGTCCACCTGGTGATGGATTTGCCCCTGGAGAGTCTGCACACCCACCCGCTGTGAGCTAGCACTGAGCAGAGCCTGCTCCCGTCAGGTGTTTACACTGAGTGGGAACATTGCTTCCCTGCCCCATAAACAGCGTCTGAGGAAAGAGGCCAAGACATTAACTAACCCAACGTTCCAAGAAGTAAAGTGTTTACTTAGTAGGAGACATTGTGGTCCAAGAAAATCTGCAGCCAAAACACTGCTCACAAACCCTTTAGGTGGACTTTAAAACCAGCCCTGCATGACACAAAGAGCGAACGTGGTTAGTGAGCAAGTGGATCCAGACTGGGACACGGATCCTAACACCTTCAGCCCTGAAATACTTCAGTTAATGTTCAGCACTTGGAAGCCCCCTAGGAAAATGTCAGCGCTCCTCCTCCTAGCACCTCATCCTTTATTACCTTTCTGGCTCCTGAGGTTGGACAATAATGCTCACTGCACTGTTCCCTGCTGGGGAGTGTACACAAGTGCATGACACTGAAGCCATTTCAAAGAACCTTGTGAGTGCAGGTTTTTCCTAGGCCTGAGTATGGTCCACACCTTGCAGACCCATTGTGGTCTGGAGGGAGCATCACTAAGTTGGTGACTGACCTGCAACAGAAATTCAGGTCTTAACATGCCTGAACTCTAAGGGGATATGGATCCTGATTTCAGATATGGATCCTTTTCTCTGGTCTAGGCTGAACTGGAGCCACCCCCCGAGTGGAGCATCCCTGAACTATGGGAAAATCAGGTTCCAAACTTCATGGCTTGGACCCATTTCCTTGAAATCCTGAAACCCAGCCTTTCCAGTGGCCTTGGTTGCAGCACTCATCTCTCAGGTGGGTGAGAAAACCAACAGCTTTCTCTGAGGAAGGTACCTACATGAAACAGTTTGCTTTGTCGAGAACTTTTCAGCACACATCAAGAAAAATGAGATCCCCTTTACATTCACAGAGGCAGAAGCATGGTTTCTCTCCACTCTCCTCAGAGGATGAAGCCACCTTTTAGTTTTTGCTTTGAGGATAGCCAGATTTTCTGCACTTCAGAATCAATCTGATGTTTCTTCCTTCTGTTGGCTAAAGCCTACGTAGGCAAGAAACATGTTTCCGTCCAAACCAGAGGACTTGGAAACAATCTACGTAAAGAGGAGATTTCTTCCACAGGTCTCCGGGAAGTTGGAGTCTAAATAACTGATGCTCGCAGCAGCAGTTGGCTGAGTACAGAACATGCCAAGCAAACTTCACAGCTTTGAATGGGAAAAGTCCTAGTCTGCAAAGGTCTGAAGCCAAGGCTAAATTGCTGGATACAATATATGTTAACCTCCCATTTCTGAGACCCTACATAGCCTGGCACTGAAGGGAGGGTACTTGCTCTTCAGCAACTGCTGGGAAAACAGAAAGCTGATACCCAACAACAGGACAATGACTTATAGTTTGGTTGGATGCTGTCACCTTTGGTCTGCCAGTGTGTTGTGCTTGTGTGTTCCCTGTCTGACCCCATGCTCTTGACCCCGATTCAAGAGCATGATGCAACCCATTTTGGGCCAGGTCTCACTACATCACGGTTCTCCTTGGTGTGTGGGGATAAGAAAGTGGTGCATTAGGAAGATGATTTTGGCCCTTGCCCTAAACTTTTCAGAAACAAGAACAGGTAGAACGGAAGCAGAGCTGTAGCCAGGCATTTTGGCGCCCAGTGCAGGTCACATTCAGCGCACCCCCCTACAGGCTACTACGTAATACCATGTCACATTATGCATTATTGTTGACTTTTTTTGGAAGAAAGACACTTGTATGGTATCATATGGGAATAACTTCAGTACATACATACAGATATGTGTATAGCACAAGACACAAACAAGATACACTACATGCAAACGAGACAAGGCACGGGAGGTACTGCTTCAAGATGTCTGCAAAAGTTAAGCAGTAAGTGAAGAAACACAGTATACATCTGCTGCAATGTATGTCAATGCTAAGCAGCTAAGTATAAAACTGTAAACATCTCCCTACATGGTGGAAAACAACTGTCTTCTAAGGAGCAATTGTCCAATACAGGATTTTCTGAGAATTTGGGAATTTTATTTTTAAAAGTCTAGGTTCAAAACTATGTCCACATACTCTGATTCTCATCAGCAAATTTATGTCATAAGCTATGCAGCTTTACTTTTCATATGGTAACATAATGAAACTAAATGTTAGGGGAATTTTGCACGTTGCTTCATTTTGGCTACTGAACTTTCCCAAACCCAGATTCAATTGGCAAAGTTAGACTTATGCTGGAAGTGGGTTGTCATCTGACCACCTTGCTGGGGTCATTTGACCTCAGCAGTCTTTTCTGTCTTGGGGCAGGGGGGCTGGGCCTGCTGATCTTATGAGGTCCCTTCCAATCCCTAACTTCTATGAATCTATGACTAAATCAGAAATGTCAAGCAGTTTGTGTGGAGAAGGAGGGCACCGGTCATGCTGGCTCTGGCATGTGAAACAAGCCATCTTGCACTTGAATGTACTTAATATAACATCTCTCTTTTGTGAAAGTCACTACATTCTGGCTGTTTAAAATGATATGTCACTTTTTGTGACAAAGCATTATTTCCAAGGATTTGGCTCCAGGTGCTGGTGCACTGCGGGCACTACCCTTGCTACCATCTCGGGTGGAGAGGAGACCTGCTCTTTTGTGGCCCCTCACAGCCCCCACTCAAGTCAAAGGTGAGGTCCAGTCTAGCAGGACAACTCTCCATTGGCCATGCAATGCAATCAGAGCCACACAACCAGCTGGAAGGGAAAGGAGAAAACCTGGCCCTTTCATTTCAAAGGTGCGAGATCTGGATTAGAGCCTCTGTCCCTCTCTCTCACCCTCAGACACAGCGATGTTTGTGTTGAACAGCCTGGCTATGCCTGAACGTGGAAGTTAGTCGGTTAGGACAAACAACGGCGAGCGAGTTGAATCACAGCTCCAAGTGCAGCCTCCTCCACCGCAGACTCTGGAGGAGTTTAGATTTCAGTCTGGATCCTGATCTGCATTTCAGACCTGTTTCTTGCTGAGCCGCCTTGGAACGGTCACAGTAAGTTCCTGTGAAAGTCTTACAAAACAGGTCCCCAGAGATGCCGGCCCGTTTCCTCCCTCCTCCTCCCAGCGAGCTGAGCCCAAAGATCCGGCATATGGGAACTTCTTAGAGCACGAGAAAAAAACCCTAAAAACTTAGGGAAGCCAGGAAGGGCTTTGTAGGAAGAATGATCCTTTTTTCCTACCCAGTTTTGAGCTCAGTCTGGAACTGGGCTTCGACTGAGCTACTGATGAATCCAAAGCGACTCCTGCCATACTGCGCTGCTCCAGAACAGCCACCAGGTGGGGCACATCTTGTTCCTCTGCCAACTGCTTTTGCCATTGCGGCTCTGATGTTATCAGCAGGTATTTACCCCTCAGGACATTTCTTAAGCCTACACGTGTCGTAAATCAAAACAACTAAATCCTATCAAGAATACCACCTGCCACTTGTTAATGCAGAGCTGTACAGAAAGGCTTTGGCGGTACCAAGCAGTGGCAAATCCGGATGAGGCTCTAGCAAGCTCAATGATTTCCAAGTTTTGATTCCAGAATCTGCTGGACTCCTGAAACATCTCACCGACTATCAAAGTAGAGGTGCACCTTGTAGGCTACCTATCCTCAGATTAACATGGCCAACTACCTCTAACTATCAAAGCATGCACTGTGAGTCAGATCCCAGTCTCTTGACTCAGGGTTTATTCAGGCCTCGTAGGGCACAAATCCAATGCGAGTCCATGTCCTTGGGATATATCTGCTTCATGTTTCTACTCTGAATGCTGTAAGCACCGTGCCAAATGTTGAGAGGTGCACTGCATATATGTATAAATAAATGAATATGAACTGAGTAAGGATTTCAAGATGTGTCCCAGCTTACCTTAATGTTGCATTAAAAAGTACCCTTGCACTTTCAATCTTTACAAAAGCAAAACAAAAAAACCAAACCAAACCAAACTTGGCTCCTTACATATTTCCCACACCATCACAACTACAACAGCACTCCAATCCTGTATAATGAGCACAGACTTGTAATCTGAGTCAGCTCTTCAGTGGTGTTAATGTTGGATAACTTTGTGGTCTTTCAAGTCTAAGCTGATATGCGACTATAAAAAGCCATCCATTTAGATCCGGTAATACCAAGGAGTTCCTTAATTTTTCCTTCCCTAGTTTGCTTGAGGAGCAAGATAATAGTGTAAATAAGGGCAGCAAAATCTGGGCTAGAGTAATCAATTTAGTAATATCTGCAAAGGAGGATGATCTTCATATAAAGAACAATTTTATATTTTTCTCAAGTACATTGACTGACAGCTGCCTCTGGGGCCAATTCTATATACACTAGTGGGTTCAGGCCTCAATTAAGCCAGACATTTAAGCTTTATATTCCTGCCTATTCACCTTTACATGCATTTAAATGTTTTGCTGAATCTGTGCTTAAAGTGCTTTCAGCAGTGCTGTTCACAGCAGCAAGCTTTACAGCTGAAAGGAAGTGTTTTCAGCCTCTGGTCCTTAGGGTGTGTAAGGTTTGAAGTGTGGCATTGATGGACTGAAGAATTACAAACAAGGAAAACAACATTTCCTGATGCCTTACCACTGAGACCCACTTTGCTGACTCCAGCAACTGCTATGCACTTTTTGGATTCAGAGAACCGCTCCCTAAACTGAGGAAACTCAAACTGGGTGAATTATGTTGTGATCTTGGAGAAACATGTAAACATTATTGTAATCACAATGCACTAGATAGAAGCATTAATGGCATTCTGGATTATCAGTGTAAACGCAGAGCCTACTCCAAGTGTCAGTCACAACACTGAGCCTCAGATTTACCAGGCTAGGAAAGATGGTTAGTCACAGGGTTCATTGTAACAACGAGGAGAACACAGACTTGCCTTCTTTTAACATCTACAGCCATTTCCCAGTAGAACAG